ATGGAAATCGTAACAGTCAGGCGTCAAAGAATAGACCACAACGGAGGGAAATCACCAAAGTTTTAAACAAATCAGCTTTCTCGCATTTATCAGAATCATTTTTCAAAAACTGTTCCTTCCGTTGTATTAGCTTCATAATATTTTCAGTCGCATCTTGCGCTTGAGTTGAGATAACTTACTAACTAACTTATAATATATATTCTATATAGTAAATCTTGAGCAAGCCACTTTTCGTGATTAAGAACACATTACTCAATCCATTCCTCTAGTCTTTCTGTAGTACAATTCAGCTTACTTAAAGTAAGATGAGTAAAAAATATAAACGTCAATAAGAAAAGACGAATCAGATAAGTTTATCTTTCTCTAACGTATTTTTAAATTTCTTACTAAAACATAGCTTTCATCTTTTTTATTTTTAATTAGTTCAGTTTAGGATATATAAACAGAAATTAAACTGAACCTCCTCCATATTTATGTGCCAGATATTTCCTTTATTCTCTATACTAGAAAATATATAATACACATATATGTTAGTTTTTTTATTGTTTATTTTCTGGTTTGTTGAATTAATTCTCAAATTAAAAATATAATTATTATATAACATAAAGTTATTTGCATTATTATTATTTTTTATACAATTTTTCGTGAAATATAAATTTAGTATCTCATCTATCTCCATTCGTCCATTTCTAACCTAAGGAACCCTTTGGCTTATATTACATTTGGATATTAGTTCAGAATATATGCACTTCTTTAGACTAAATTTAGTAAATTTGCATATTGCTTAGTTTGTCAGTTTGTCAGCTCATTTACTGACAGCTGCAATTTTAGATTTTGAAGACCATTTTAATGACATATTTTAGTAGTCCAATCAAACGAGCTGTTTTCAAAGTATTCGCATTCTGAATACTATGCGTCCCTTAGGACGAGGTGTTTTAAATATGTAAATAGGTATGTAGCACTCCAGTCCGGTAGACAGGGCGTACGAAATTGTTTTCTGAAAAGAAGTGCATCTAAAACAAGCCCCGAAAGAAAATACAACGGGAAACTAAAAAGCTTTCCGCTCTGCTTCTTTATTTTTTTCTTTGCTTTACTTGTTACAGCTGCCATTTGTTGTTGTCCTTGTTCCTATTCCTGTTTCGCTGCTCCGGTTCTGATGCTCCCCTTTTGCTTGCCATCTTTTGTGGCATGTGACTACCGCCTGTCGCTCAGCTCTGTTGATTATACTCGTTCACGCAATGAAACGAGTATATTACCATGGGATATCCATGTTTTCGTAAGCCCAACTGTTTTGCAACTTTAAATTGCTGGAATATATGTATAATCATAAGTATTCTCATTATATAGTTGTCGACACAGCTAACCAAAGCGGGGTTATTAATAGAGCTTATAGAGGCGTTAATTTATACTAAATAATGTTGACAATATATGTATATTTCTATATACTCTAGGGGGTTAAGTTACTATATATGCCCACATGTCATATACCAAAATCTGATATATCTACTTCTTTGTAGTCATGGTAAATCTTATATGTATATAAGTTTGTCCCAAAGAAATTTATGATATATATATATATATTTTTTTTTTTATTTAACTATTTTTGTACCAAGAACGAGTATTAATTAGTCAGTCGCTCCTGACTCAAAAATTCTTTTACGTTTTTCGCATAGTTCTGCTGAAATTGCGTATTTCAGTCATGTACATTACGAATGACAGTGAGAGTTTTGCGGCCCTTCAGCATTATTCAAAATGTGATAGTTGAATGCTCATTGAGAGATGCTGGGGTATACAAATTATCATTAGCATAAAACATATTTTGTGGTAGACGCTTACCGATTAATCAGTCCACTTTAAACCAAAGACAAAGTGAATCAAATTAAAGATCTTATGTGGCGATTTTCTTCGAGTGAAAAATAAAATTGTTTAGTTATATATATTTTCCCCAACTGAATAACTACACACTCAATGGAATCTCAAGATTCCAGAATTTACAATTGTGCCACAGTTTTAAAAATAATTAAAGAATATTAATTCCAATTGCCAGTCGTTGAATATTTCAATTGCATCAGACAGCTCAAATTCATTTTCATTTTGAAATTAATTTGGGCCTGGCAAAGTAAGCTCCGCTCACTGGTCGATGAGGGCCTCTATCATTGCCCAGGTTTCGGGTGAAACTTCCCTGTCGATGTCAATCGCTCTGATTATGTTGAAAAGATCTACATTGATTTGTGGAAAGTCCAAAGTGTCGTTCGTTTCATCGCCAGACTCCATGTCCGTGTCCATATCCCTTTGTTGTCGTTGAGCAATGGGAACATCGGAGCAGTCATCGGAGTCTTCTTGATTGCCGCGGTCCTTCAGCATGTTGATTCTATATAAATGCCGTAGATGAAACGTATTTCTATAAATTAATGGATGAACACGTAATTTTGTTTATTCTATTCAGCTTACTAAGTTATACTAAACTTTTCCACTCATTGGCATTAGAGCCTGTTTATGTTTATTGTTTCATTGGATTTGTAAACTGACTTTTTGAAGAGCTTGGCAAAATTACTTCAACTTCCAATTGAACTAATTATAAATTACTATAAGCTCGACGGCGCTCAGCCACAGCAAAGTTCAGCCAAACTGTCGAACATGCCCCAAATACTGGCACCTGCTGTGGTGCCTCTGCCTGCCTCTGCCCGCACATTTTTAAACAACGCCAACGCCTCCACCTCACTGGGGTATTCAGTGCGAAATGTGGCTAAAGCTGCTTTCCGGTTAACGGACGATTTCCCTCCACTCTCTCAGTGCCAGATGAAAATTCGTGGTTGCGCCGACAACGGAAAACTTTTGGATTGGCACTGGGAATGAAATTCAGCTGGGAAAATAAGGCAACCGCTTCATACTGACTGCGCATTACACGCCCATACCAATATGATATTTTAAGAAGATATATTCTTCAAAAAGTTAATTTTAAACAATCAGATTTTATCTGGATCGCTGAACGTATATGAAAAACTTAATCGATTCTCGGTTGCTGTGGAAATCTATGTGCACTAATAGACTCTTTTCAAACTGGTGAACGCGTATAATAATGCACCCTTAAAACAAAGAGGAATGCTAACATAATTGCAGCCTCAAATACCCTGTAACCGTGTCAAATATGCTAATTAAGAATAAAATGTGTAAGAAATTTCCTTGCTCATCTAAGTTTTTTTTTTATGTTTCCCGTTTTAATAATAAACAAAAAGAAACTACGAAAAAAAAAAACAGAGCATTCAAGCTCTTGAGTTTCATTTTAATGAGAAGAATGAAAAATACAGAGTATGCGCAGCGTTGCAATGTGAAGCACGAAAAATATTTGCATTTTTATTAAAAACTGAGATAATTTTTCCCCTTTGTTTTTTGGCGAAACTTGAGCAAGGCTCATTTCATAGCTACCCTGTTTTCGATAAATATCGCTAAAGTTTAATGCACTTTATGAACTCTAACTTGAAATTTAATTAACCAAAATGTAAATAAATAAATATGTTTATTTAAGTTGAGCACTCCGTTCCACTAATAGCGTAGAAAAGTATAGGGTGTCTAGCCGTTGGTCGAGATCTGGATGCAACGAAATTCCTTCTTGTTATTACTTTCATTGCAGCGTCGAAAGTTTCGGCAGAATTAATAAAAGTTAATTTCGCCGTCGGATGCAGGCGCAACTCATAATTAAAAATAGTTTCAAATGTATCGGGCGTTCGGCTGGGCGTGCAAAACATTTATATCTTTATTAATTAAATTTTCTACTGACCAATAAAAAAAAAGCATGTTTGCCCACTTTCAACATTTTTAAATACCCTGCACACATTAATCATGAGCAGAGCAGAGGATTCGCACGTAAATCCAGACCAATGAACGCAGAGCAGTTCAAGTGAGCGAAACGAGGGTAACGAGGCCAGAGATTAAATAAAGGATTTTATTGTGCGATTTTAGTTAGCTGAATATTATCAACAATGTGTTTGGATGTTCATGAATGTTAATTTTTAGCGGTAAACTGAGGGATGGAATAAATTAAGAAATTAAATAAATTACCAAAGGCAAAGTTCATTTGAAAATTGAGCTGCGATGAAGATATTGCAAATCTAAAAAACTGTAAAGTTATTTTTAATAAAATTTGTTCAGGTGCTTGGCTGCGCCCAGGTGCAACTGATTATGCGCAGATGCAAATGAAAAAGCGATTTAAAAAATGAATAAAAAATAAACAAAGACAGCCACAGAAACAACATATCGAGAAATAAACAACATATCGAGAAATATCGTGCGCTTAATAAGTGATTAATGTAACATTAATGCAGAATTAAATAAATACGTAGGGATTACGCAAATTCATTTAATTATAGAAAAAAGTATACGTGATTTAATTACAACAATTAATGCATATCATGGAGGTACATAATCCCTATATCATTTGGTTATTTCTGTATATCGAAGATAATGCTTATGGGAATTGAGTCTGTTCCTCATAATTCCTTTAGGTTGACATTATAATCAAAGCAGTGACAGCTTGGGCAAACAAAGTTGAGCCCCAAAGGGCTGATTGAATAAATTAATGCGAGTCACATATGAATCATTGCCGAGGCTTCATGATGTTAGCGCTGAGATTTGCCCAACAACAGGCGGCGCCCAGCTGTATCGGATTGAATACTTTGGATGCATTGATTTTGATTTGGTCACTTGATTCATTAAAAAGTTTCAGATTGAGCCGTGTTGATGTTTCATGGCAGCTATGAATATTGCATAAAGTTCAAAGTTCGCAACAGTTTTAATTAGAACGTAAAATCAACGAGGAAACTTTGACGTACTTTTAATGAAGCAAGTTCGGAGCAGATGCTTGGCGGGTGCCAGATGGGGCGTGCCGAGCATGGGCGGGGCGAGGCAGCGCCTTATGCTGCCAGGTAGTGGTAGTAGTAGTAGGTCCAATAAAAAGCCGTCAAATAACTCACGACCCCTTTGCCTATTCGTTTATATTGCAGACAACCGGCTTTGGCGGCCTGCCAGACGTGACGGAGCACTCGAACATACGGCGTACACTCTCGCGCCAGAACTCGATCTCCAACAGCGATTCCGGCGGCGAAATCGCCAGCATCCAGAAATCGAAGGTCTACGGCAACGCGATGACAGGCGGAGTAGTCGTTGGCAGCGATATCGCTGGGATCGCACTCGACAGCAAATCGCCCACCTCCCTGGCAGCGGAAGCAGCTGCAGCAGCCGGCTCCTCCTCCAAGGCGAAGGCAAAGAGTGCCCGCAAGACAAGGAACAGCTCCGGGGCAGCCCACAAGTCGCGACGCGGCTCCTGGATGGTGGCTCTGACTCTCGTGAGCGCCATCTGTCTGCTGGCCATAGCCGCCACCTTGGCCTACCAACACTTTTTCATGTCGCCCAGCCGCAACTCTCACGCCCAACGGCTGCGCATCGTTAGGCGCATCCTGCGGGAGGTTCCCCTCGTCGACGGGCACAACAACTTTGCCTGGAACGTGCGCAAGTATGCGCACAGCAGTCTCGAGCTGGTTCACCTCAGTCACGACCTTGATCACAAGTCGATGTGGGTGCGGCCCGCCTGGGCCCAAACGGACATGGAACGGCTCAAGCAGGGACTAGTCGGCGTGCAAGTTTGGTGAGTGTTTATATTATTTCTAATAAATATTCTTTTAGTTTATGAAATATTGATTCATATTCATTATATTTTTCGTTTTCTCCAATTCATATATCCAAGATTAAGATTGAATTATCTGTTTAGGGCCCATTAAACAATATTACGTATAATATTGTAACTTAAGAAGGAGATTTATGTTTATAAAGAGACTGCGATTATTCATTTCATTCTCTTTCTAGTCTTAGCTTGCTAGAATAATCATGGATTAATCATAAAGTAAAATTAATTATCGATAGATTAGTCCACATGTCCGTGCATCGATAGGCTATATACATATATGTATATTAGTAATTATTTAGTAACAGACCATTATCAATGTCGCATGCATTTAGTACAAGCTTTATGTAATCACAATTAATTATCTTTTAAATACTGCAGCTACGCGTGCATTGACAGCTTTGAAAAGTCCAAATTGATTATATTTTATGATAATGCGACATGCATATGATAGGAGACAGTAGGACAGCCAATGTCACACGCTCGCATTTAGAACTAATTGAAAACAACGAGCTAATTGAGCTACAGTAGAATCCGGTTATAACGACTCCGCTTATACGTAGCGTACGGTTATTACGACGAAAATTCTGGTCCCCTGTCAAACTTATATGATCTTAGTACCTTCTGGGTATAACGGCGGTCCCTTATTCGTTATAATTGGATTCTACTGTAATTGAAAATAGCTTCAATCCATATTTTATATTAAATAGGCCTAATTATTCTGAAAAACATGTATTCATTTGGATAAGTTGTGAATAGCAGAGAAAAATATCAATCAAGAAGAGTATATATATGAGTGTAGTATAGTATAGTATATATTAGTGTAAATTCTATATCTAAAATATAGCACGAGCTAATATACTTATGAAAAATATGCTAGGAATCATCCATCAGCCAATTAAAGTCTGCCCTTCTTCTACCTTTAACTTTACAGAGATGTTTATTATCCTAGTACAAGGGAATATGAACAACATCCATTGCTCTTCTCTCTGTAGTTTCATATTTTTTGTGCATTTAAAATCATTGTATCCCTACTGGTAGCATGCTGCGGGTCAGGCATTCGAGTAAGAGAGAATCTCAGTTGTTTTACGATGTTTTAACGGAGTACCCTCCGATAACAAACATCCAGGCATGTTTGACATCCACCCATAACAATTACCTAGCGCTGGGCGCACTTCATCGATACAATCAAGCGCCCAGCTGCCCAGTTCTCCGCCCACCCACGATGCAGAGATGCCAACAATTTGACTGCAAAATAAAATTTGGCAACAGCCAAACAGCGCGGCGGCAGGGCAAACAGCCAACCTGGCCCTGCCAGCTGCCAGGCAGTCTTTAGCACCCGGCCAAAATGCCTATCCGGATGCCGAGATGGGCCGGACTGGGCTGGGCTGGGCCGATCCAGCAACAGAGGCAAAAACAATTCAAACGGCCAAGGGCTGGGTGCACGAGTGGGCGTGGCGCATGACAGGCAGCAGACAGCTGCAGTTTGGGAAAACTGCTGATGGGCAATCCACTCGATTTTATTTCGTAGACTTCTGACACGGAAAACTCTTTCGCCCGCTCCGTCAGCTGAAGCGCAGCCCGGGGCCATTTTCCGACTAAATTTTAGTGGTCGTCATTGTTCAATTTTCCACTGAAAATTCCGTCGCAACTCACACGAGCAGTGCCATTCGCATGGCCATAGAAGTTTTTACTGGCCTTCCTTATTGCGAATATCCTTGCATTTAAAATTCAAATGCGCCTTAAGTTAACCACTTTTATGGCCAGCATGCTCGCTGCATAATAATGGCATTTGGCAGGAGCTGGGGCACGTGCAGCCCATTCTCGGTGGGGCGAGTCACTCACTAATGAGAATAATAAACGATGAAGGTTGCAATGAGAGTGAACTGAGAGCCGTTGTTATTTAAGTAGTAAAATTTAATACAATTGCGAAACTCTTTTAAAAAATTATTTCAATGACTCGTATCTAAGTTAGAGAATATTAGAAACCTCTTGGGCGTTTCAGGCGATTGTATTAAATTACGTGATTAATTTCAATACCAAGGGATTGATGTGGACCTGCGATCCTCGTGATTATGGTCTGTCCTTTTAGTCGCCTGGCCTCCAGTGCGCCGTTGCTTGCAGTCCTTGCAGTTGCATATCTTCGCCTTTTCAGCGTCGGCAGACGGTGCCGGCTGCCCGTCGGGAGGGCGGGCTGCCTTTGCAGCGTCGGGGCTCTTGGAGGCCTTAGCCCCATTGGCAGCCGCTTCTTCCTCCTTGTACTTGAGCCGATTGATTTTCGAAAGAGCGAATGCCGTCAGGTTGCAGTTCTTGACGTGAGGATTCTGCTTTTTCTTGGTGAAGATCTGGCGGCGATCTAGGACCACGGTGCGCTTGCTCACCCACCAGCTGAAGTCAGATTCAACGAAGTAGGGCTTTTGCTTGGACGTCTCCTTTTCGATTGACTGCTTGTGCTCCTTCAACCACAGCCGACCATATTCCCARCCCAACAACAGGCTCATCGCCGGCGGCTCCTTCTCGTAGGATGGCACAAATGAGGTTTGTCGGGGCTGTGGCAAGTCCTTTGGAAATATTTCGTGGGTTTCCTTAGCGACGGTGGATAGCTCAGCGCGTGTCCAAACCTGATGCATTGTGAGGGCCGCGTTTTGTGTTCTATTCAATATAAATTCTCAGTTGTGCTTTTTGTGTTACAAAAGTAAAAGATCCTAAAATCAAAACATGCTTAATTGAGGGGTTGCCTATTCCGTTGAATTTGAGATGGTYTATCTATCTACTATATTTGAATGCAAAGAATACTTTAAATTTACTTTTCAATTATGAAATATTTCCTGTCAGCCAGACAACTTATTCGGTAACAAATGGAATTTCTCAGGCTGTTCGACAACTGAAAGTTGAAGCCGAGTCGACCACGCCTACCTAGTGACGGTGATTCGAACCGCAGGATCCAGGACGAACTCGGGAGATAGGGAAATTTCCGTGATACTTGCGAAGTGTCTGGCTGGAAAACAGGCGTCAAAGGCTCAATGGTCATATTGGGCTGTAGCTGAAACGTGCCTTTGGGCACTTTAAAATCCGCTGCTCTGAATTGATTATATGCGTACAAGATTGCGTATTCCGTGGTGCCCTCTTCTTGAGCATATAAATTTAAAAGTTTTTCAATTACTCAACCCCTTGCCGGAAGGGGGCCATAAGAACTTAAGTCTATTTATGTTTTGTATTATATGTATGTTGATATTTTCGTGGCGTTTCATTCCAGGTCGGCGTACGTGCCTTGCGAGGCGCAAGGCTTGGATGCCGTCCAGCTGGCACTGGAGCAGATAGACATTGTGCGGCGGCTGTCTGACATGTATGCTCGAGATACGGTGCTGGCGACGTCCTCGCAGGACATTGTGGCCACGCACAGGCGCGGCCTGCTGGCCTCGGTGATCGGCATTGAGGGAGGGCACACAATTGGCTCTTCGCTGGGCGTGCTGCGCTCCTTCTACTCGCTGGGCGCGCGGTATCTCAGCCTGACGCACCGCTGCGATGTGTCCTGGGCGGGGTCGAGTGCCTCGACGCTGGAGCAGGGCCTGACACCCTTTGGCAAGGCGATTGTGCGGGAAATGAATCGCCTGGGCATGATGATCGATCTCTCTCACAGCTCGGACGCCACGGCGCGTGATGTGCTCCAGCTGACGCGGGCGCCCGTCATCTTCTCGCACTCGGCGGCCAGGCAGCTGTGCAACTCGACGAGGAACGTGCCCGATGACATATTGCGCTTGGTGGCCGAGAATGGCGGTCTCATCATGCTCTCCTTCGACCCCGAGAACGTCGCCTGCGGCCGTCAGGCACGGCTGCAGGATGTAATAGAGCATATTAAATACGTGCGAGCGATTGCCGGCATTCAGCACATTGGCCTGGGTGCCGGCTACGATGGCATCGAGATGCCCCCGCTGGGCCTCGAGGACGTCTCCAAGTACCCGGAGCTGTTGGCCGCCCTGCTGGAGGATCACAACTGGAGCGAGGAGGACGTTGCCATGCTGGCGGGCCGCAACTTTCTGCGCATCCTCGAGACCGTCGARACGGTACGCGACTACTGGAAGCGCGCYGCCATMCAGCCCATCGAGCTGTCGGAGCCGCAGCCCAAGACACAGTGCACCTACATGTCGTCGTGACCACTGCCACAGGCGTTGAGAACGCGCCGCGACGAGCCCGCCACGGTGCCCCGCCTTGGGGAGGGGGCCAGCCCCAATCACACCGAGAGGGCGACGTCCACGGGCGCGCAGCTCTGGCAGCAGCTGGAGCCCGTCGCAAACGAGACAGACGTTAGCCACATGGCAGTGGCAGCCACAGCCACAACAATGGCAACCACATTTGCAGTCAGTGGACTGCTGCAGTAGACGGCTGGCAGGTTGGCAGTCCTTGGCTGTCACTCCGGCTGACGAGCCCTCGTTTGCTCATTTGCCCATTTGCTAATGAGCGAATAATGTTTTAACTGGAAGCCAAAGGAACAGCAATCAAAATGACGAATTAACAAGTAAATCGGAAAGCAGCATAGCGATAAGCATGTAATATAACTAAATACGCTCACGTAGAAAGGAAATTTGTATTCGTATTTAATTGAAGCATTGGCACACACACACACATACACATACATATGCATATATACAAATGCAGATGGATGTGGGTTTCACGATTTATTCAAAGGTTGCAATTAAATAATTGAATATGTAGGCGTGCATACGTGCCCGTGGCCAGGGCTTGTTTCTGTTTTAATAATTAAATTAAATGTTAATTGTAAAGAGAAGGAAAATAAAAAAAAGAATTAAAATTACAAAAATAAATATTATAACATAGACAGAATCATTTTCTGTGTGAGGCCATAATCGAAATACCCCGCAAATGCATTGAAGCGAGAGTGTTTAATGCATTCAGTATGTCTGTATGTTTGCAAAAACTAATTAAATTTTGCACCCAATAGACATGGTCAAAAATTAAAGCCAAAAATAAAATTGTAAATTAGAATTTCGTTTAGTTTTTGACCAGTAAAAAAAGGAAATATGAAAATAAAATTCCTGGCGATTTGCCAGGCGAGTGACCCGCTGGCACTTAACAAGTGCATCATAACGAGATATTATTGTCGCCATCAATTATGCAATTATAATAAATGCAATACAGTTAGTCGCAACCAAACGCTCAAACCAGATCCCGCAACTTTAAATTAAACGCCACTAAGTAAAAATATGAATGCCAAATATTTATTATCTCTCAAATGTGCAATGTGTGTTCGCATTTAATACCAAACAGGATAAACAAAAACCAAACAAGAAAATAAAGCGTATTTATTGTGTATTTACACATACACTCACACTCACACGCATTATCGAAATATACAGAAATACAAGCATAATCGTTCTTATTAAAATTAGGAAAGCAACGTTAGTATCGTATACTTGCATTTCCATAAATAAAATTAAAATAAATAAATGTGCCCGTGTGTTTCGCTCATTAATCTGTGGAATTTATTTAACTTTTTTACTCCCATAGCCGAAGCCATTCAAATCCGGATTCAGCTTAATGAACTGTACTAAAATTCGGATTGCAACAGAGGCGATGAAAAATGCAATAAATATAATATTTCGGTGGTAAATAAATAATTTTCATCTCAGTCTGGGTGCGAAATCGTTGCAAAATGCAACGAGAAGTATTTAAATTATATAAGAAGAGAATATCCATCTAGAAAGTATGCAGCATCAAGGTGCGGCTGCTGCTCTTTTAAATATTCCAGCGTCTCCCTCACACGCACACGTGCTTAGTGCATATGTATTGCCACACWCACACAAAGGCACGCACGCACGCCGTTTAATGCGCATTTCATGCTGCAGCTGTGCTCGCTTTGCCGACATGAGAAATGAGATTTTAACTTTTGCATTTTTAGTACGATCTTTGTGTAACTTCTTGGGCTGAAATATATAACAACCAAGTGCGTATATGCAGAAAATTAAGGTACTTTAAGTTTAAGAATTGCCAATTGTGTTTAGAAGCTGTAATTTGAACAGTTTGCATAAACATATTAAATTCAGTGTAGCAATAAAGCAGAAACATTTTTCTTTAGCTGAGAATCAATCATGTATTCCCCGTATAGTAAATAAACTAAAATCTACGGTACAACTACGGAATTAACTTTACTTAAAAAAAAGAAGAGTTAACGAACGAATTTTCTCGGTAAGACTTTAACCACATACAAGAGCGAAATTTACATATATATGTATATTTAAGTTAACAAGCTCTCTTACAACTAGCTTTTCAAGTCGAGCAATGTCATAACGAGATTTACATTTGATTATCAATACTTCGTAAATTAGACAGGATTAATTACGGACGTAAGTATCCGAATATTGTTATTATGCTCAGTCACGTACTGAAAGCAATATTGGTGTAAATTATTGCAAATCGATTTAAGAATAAAGACTTAAGTGTCGTCATCGCTTACTTCTTATTGCCTATATTACATATACATGTATTATATGTCAACTATATCCTCTCATATGCTCATTTATCTTTGCTTCTTTTGTGCTATTTATCTTATCAATATTCCGACTACAGCTTATGGTATATACAATTTCTGTATCAGCTCTTGAATGCAATTTACGCAGATACATATTTTTATAAACATATATAGATACACTCTGTGATAGTATATATTATTTAGACACAATATTATCATGTGATATGTGAAAGTAATAGGTAATTTTTTTTATGTGAGTTTCCGAATTCCAAATTCGACCTACTGTTACAGTGGTATTAGTGTGAGATAGAGATATTATATAGAGCTCTTGTACAAATATTATCCGAGTGAGTTTGCGTCTTGGCTACCCTCCGTTCATTTCTGCTTTGTGTACCCTCTGGCATTCATTACGTGAGAGGGAGAGAGAGAGAGAGAGAGAGAGAGAGAGAGAAAGAGAGAGAGAGAGAGAGAAGATTAGCTATGGCTGAACCGGTTTTTGCTCAGTGAAAACAAAATGACTACGTAGGTCATTCGGACAGAGTCGTTATGACTGTCGGTTAACGAAGAGAAGCCGACTAGTAAATACATTTATATTCTGGAAGATCATAGTATGAACAACAGGGAATTCAGAAGTTCTCTATTATAATTATAATAAAATTAAAATCGAGAGGATATATAACACATATACATTTATAAAGTATATGTGTCGATATATGAATTCTTGTATATCTATATATATATACATATATATAAAATATCATTATCATTATTATCTTAAGATCATATTAAAAGAGATATTTGTGAACCAGTCACTAGAGATCGTGTCCATGATTAGTTTAATTTTTTTGTTTTGTATATAGAGTTCTATAAGCAGAGCATTAAATAGTTAATTCTACCCACTTGCAAATTGTTTTTGTTTAACTCGAAATGAAAAACTACTTACATGGCACACACACAAGCATAGAAACTGCTTGAAAACTAGCTGGAAGTAGTGTTCTAAACAGAAACGCTGGGATCCAATTTATGTATCTGTAGGCATTAGTGCTGGGACGGGCACAACGCACTCTGTTGTCTGGGGCCATAAAAAACGTTAAGTGGTCGTAAATCAAAATTCAGCTAACATAAGAAAGTTCACTAAAGTTTTTTTGCTTTGCAGAAAACGTACTTCTGCCGCTTGGTCTTTTAGCTCACACGCTTTTATTTATTTTCAACTACTTTTGCCACTTGAGCTAGAAATCTGCAGCTGGCTTTCTCACAGCAGCCTAGAGCAAAACTAGAGCCAAGCATTGGCACTTGAGGCTGAGAACAACAGTCCGTAAACTTAGCTGTGGGCCAAGCAATTCTATTCATTTACAGTCCATTGAAACTTGCTTAAATTTTGAAGGCGAATCGCCCAGGCCCACGCCTACGCCAACACCCAGAGCCACAGCAGCCCACTAAGACGGCCAATTCCAATTTCAGCCAATGCTCCTTGCTCTGCCTCTTATGAGCCGTGATGGCGCCAACGCCATCAATGTCTGATAACAATGTTTTTGTTGTTTACACGAGGAGTTAAGGTTTTTGTCTCGATAGCTTCCACTTGGCAGGAAGCTGCTCTGACCTTCCATTCTCTCAACATTTTGCTGTCGATTGTTTATTATTGTTGCAGCCGGCTTTTCCTCGCGCATAATAGAAACACTAATTGTTCTACTCTCTCCGCCAGCTAAGCTGGGCTATGGAAAATCAAATACCATTAAACAAACGACCAAATATATCTAACTTGTGTGCGTAACATGGACTCTTAAGTCATTGAAATTTAAAGTTTAAATTGAATATGATATTTCAATTATCGACTATGAATTATCGCTTTAGTACTGCTATAAATTTAGTGCTGCGTGAATTCAAAAGAAAAAGACAAACGCAATTATGTTTCAATCCATTAAACTTAAAATCATAATCAAAGGAAAGCCCCAAATCTATCAGAATATGTATTTCAATATTTTGTTATATGTCTATATTCTCAATACTTGTATACAACATTGTATATATTATTAATTAATCAGCTTAATATGTCTGAGTTGGACTAACACCAATTCTAAACAAGATCAATCCAAATCGGCTTTCTGACTAAAACTATATTTTAGGCGGAAAGCTACTTTGCCTCAACTTGTATTATAGAATTGAGTAAGCGGACTGAAACATTTTTTATTTAAAATTCCACCAGCATGCGGGTAAATGAATCGTCCATTTGTTGAATGAATTTTTTAGCAATAGTTTCTATTAATATACATACATATATAATACACTATCTATGGGTATATATTAAAATTTATTTTTGGGCAGCAACATCCGAAGAAAATGTATATAAACAATAAAGATATTTCCTTCAAAAAGATGTTTGTTAAAAATTTCTGTTATACATATTGTATAAATCTTTGTACATATGTTTATTAATAAATGACACTCTAAGATTGCATCCTTTAACAAAGTCGAAATTATTCAGTAAGCGGCTTCATTGCTTGCGGTATGTGGATCTGTCTTTGTTATTCATTTGCTACGGCTTAGTAAGCCCACAGATAGCAGCAATCAACATATCACGCTCTTAGAAATTTAAGTACCTACCTATAAATTGCAGCAAATTACATTTTTATGATTTAGCAAGTGGTAAATTCATTGACTTACTTATTGGAAATGAATTACAATCATTCTTAATATTCAACAAATTTGAATTAAAAAGGTTTATGCGCTTCCTTCAACAGTCTTTGAAAGAAACTTGAAACTTCTTGGGTAAATAAATAATTATATCGTTTCTCACTCCAGTTAGCTTACTACATGAGCTTTTGGTTCATTTTGTTGAAAATCTATCGATATTAAGTATTGGCAACACTAAAAACTATAATGCCGATTATTGAGATGTCTGGCAACCTTACACTTATATATATAAGCGAGAGTTGAGTTTTAGCACGCGTAATGGAGTGTCGCGCATACATATTATTTTTCTATGAATAAACGTTAATATAATTACAAACATATCTACTGTAAACTTTTAGTATGGGCAGTGAAATTTACAACASATTTCGTTGTTGTTCTTTGCCAAACAAAATAATTAAATTAATATAACTAACAGAATTTTACTTTGCTAACTTCAATTCTTATATTATATATTGTCAGTAGAAAGGATTGTCGACTAAGACAAAGCAGCTTAGTGATTAGACTCCGGAAAGCCTTTCCTCATTCAATTCAATGACTTTTTCACAGGGACAACTCAACTGTCTATAGCCAAGAGCTCC